CCCCCCCCCCCCCCCCCCCAATCAAAGCAAAATATTAGAACTCTTCCTTAGTTTTAGACCACCAAACAAAAAACAAAAAAAGCAAAACAAAAACAAATCAAATTCTGAAATGTAATATTCTGAAGTCTCCGTATACATAAATGGTTCCCACGTCAACACAAAGATAATGTATTCTTTCCAAGTCACCCACAAAGACACGATTCATTTTAAAATATTACAATTCTATTCTATAACAACAGCAATATAATTTCCTCTTCATACACAACAATCACACCTTTAAAAAGAAATGTACATTGAAGTGTCGGTATTATGTATAGCAAGCCTAACAGAAAAGCACACACACCCATACATCATCACCATTCCCAGCACAAAAGATGGGACAATAAACACAGGTCAAGTGTGTGTGAAGCTCCACACCAGTCTGCGCACACATCTTTAATCTTTTGTGGCCCTGAACAACACCTGCATTCTTTCCAGAACCTCCCCAGCATTGCTTCAAATTACCTGTTTATCTACTTCTTTCTTTTTTTTTTTTTTTTGCATTGTTAAGTTGCTTTTCTGAGGAATATTGCACACAGATCTAAGGCTTTAACGTATTTTTTCATGCCAGGTAATTCTTCTTTATAAATTTTTTTCAGCAATGTTTAGTTTAGTTAACACTTTGCCACCTCATCTCGCAGATTGGCGATGTTTACCACCCAGTTTCTTTGGATTTTCCCCAAAATATGAAGGCAAAGTGCTATATAAGAATTTTTGTTTTAGTAAGTGTTTTACGGCACTTGCAACACAATAAGGTCATAAAAGTGCCGAAGATTAGAAGAGTTACAACAGAGTAACAAACACAAAATAGAAGGAGGGGAGATAAGGACGAATAGATGTTTGATAGGAAAGAAGGAGCAAACCACACCAGAACACCCGCCAATCACCCACAAATAAAAATTTTGTAGCACTTGCAACACAAATAGGTCATAAAGTGCTGGATATGAGATGTGTTACTAATGAGAGTAAAATACAAAGAAGAGAAGGTGGAGAGAGATAACAACAAACGATGTGTGACGGGACACAAACATGGCACTGATATGACCTAATTGTGTTGCAAGTGCCGTAAAACTCCTACTACTAAAACTAAAGAACACAAAAGGCAAACCACACCAGAGTTCCCTCCAACCATCAACCAGCAGCAATGTGCAATTTCGTAAAATATTTTTATTCCCTCAGCAAACCCCAAT